ATGTTACGCACTTGTAAGACAGAGACAAGTAGACAACACATGTAGGTATCACGTCCTCTTAAATGTTTATAAAAAATAAATCGTAGGTATCTTTAATATTATTGAACTGCTATTAAAAAACGTATGGGGAACCTTGCGTTCAATTTTTAAGTTTTGACTTAGAACATTTTTTAAAAAAAAATCAACAAAAGTCGAAAATTTCTCAAGTCTATAAAATTTAAATAGCTCAGTCAAAATGTTTTGAACATTTAAGCATATATATAAAATGATAAAATAAACATTCGGTGAAAATTCAAGTAACAACCTATATCTACAGTTTTTTTTTAAAGTTAAACCGAAAAATTGATAGAATTTATAGAAACTATATTTATTATAATATAAGTTATAAGTTAAAATCTACGATGGCGTTTATGAATCCTTCTTCGCTAAACACAGAAACTATAACTTCAATTTTTTTTCTTCATTATTTTAAAATATAATTATAGTTAGGTAGGTATACTATAGTCTTTATTATAGTTTTTGAAATAATAGGCAAGTATTTCTTTTTCATATATTTAAAAAAAATTACCCGTACATATTATAATCAGTTTATAATATAAATTCAAATGATTTAAAGATAATATGTAGTTTATTATCCACAAAATACCATGTTATTTTTGTTCAATTTATGACACTCTTGTTATTGGCATTTTACCGAGGGAAGTTCCCTGAACCTTTCTGAATAAAACTTCTGTATAATACTTTCGTTCGTCACACCACCTAGGTAGATACATATTACCTACCAACATATTTTCTCTTCAGTGTTGGAGTTTGACCTTTTAAATATGTTTTAAAATATTGTATAATTTTACCCGATTAGAATCGCGATCAATTGGTCGATATTTAGAGACAATATGTCCATTGCATTAAAAATTAATTATACTAACGTCGGTTGATTATATGCTTAATTTTAAAAACGCATTTACATTTTATAGTTTATATTATACAAAATAAAATATTTTGGTTAAAGAAAGAAATACAATTTTCTGATGGAGAATAATAATAGAAGAATAATATCATTTACTATACAATTTATTGTTATGTTTCATGTAATCATATAAATAATATAGGTATCTTGTACCTAAATAGATAGTGGTCGATCACCACCTAACATATTTAAAGGGCTAAAAAATACCGGGAAAAATGTAATTACCTACATAGTGTTGCTGCAAATTAAGCATGCTTATATTCAGGGTTCGGAACTTATATCACTAAAAAATGCGCTTATATATATGACCCGATAAACTTAAAAATATGACCTAAAAATGAAAAAAAAACAGTTAAAAGTCATTAAAAAGGATTTATTTCATGTAAATATAAAAAAAATTGGAATTTAAATAAAATTATTAATTTAAAAATTTAAAAAAATAAAAATAAAATCTTTAAGAATTGGGTTTTGAAAGATCTGAAAAAAAAATTTGTACCGGTGCAGTTTATCGATCACTAAAAAAAAAAATAGATAAATTATTGTCATAATTTGTCAAGCGATTCGAATGTCAGAATGTAGATAACTGATAAATACGCATATCAGACGTTTTTCAATTAACCATCTCAGATTAATGACTACATGATTTTCGATTTATAAGGTATTTATAAATCACGTTTCATGTGCAGCATATTAACTGTGGTAGGTAGCTAATACATTTTGAACAATAATATCCACCAATCGTTAAAAATCGTTAAATATGCGACAGTACCTATTACAAAAAAAAACCCCAAAATTTGCAAAATAAAATTTCATATTTGATTTCTTCGTAATATAAAACGTACCTATATGTATATCACTCTGATATGTTTTACGTCATCTATGATGGATTTACAAATGCAATAAGTTCCGAACCCTGCTTATAATAATATATTCATTGTCCAAGGAGTATATATATAGGTACTTGCACCTTAGAGCAGGGAATTCTCAAACTGTGGTACGCGTACCCCTTGTGGGTACTCGAAATGTTTAAGGGGGTACGAGTCTGACCAACAAACCAACAAGGAAAAAATTCTTTAAAAGTCTTAAATTTTTTTTATATATATATTTTAGTTTAGTAACTAAGAAGGGAACACTAAAAAAATGTATTGATAAAAAGGGGTACAGTGTTTATAAGAGTTTGAGAATCGCTGCCTTAGAGAAAACAATTTGAGACCAACCGTACCTATATTAATTGTTAAGTGGTAATGGTGTCGTAAACGATCTACTATAATTTTTCGTTACCAACGTGTAGAGGGCTTAAGGGCATGTGTAAGTGTCGTCGTAAGTGATGTACCAAAAACAGTGTATGAACAAATAAGACCCGACCCATTTTACCTAGATCCCATATTATCATTCACACATTATACATATGGTAAAACATGGGTCTATTTGTCATCCCTAAGACCCTAACCTAACCAACATATAGGTAGGTATCCTATGAATCATTAATAAATAATGTCTACATTTTTAAAAAGAAAATTTCATCCCGATAACCAGTCACCAGACAACTGAAGATTCGGTTTGGCATGGGTATATTAAGTACCTACTAGGCTAGCAATAATATAAAACAATAATATTTATCAAGTTTATAATATATAAAGTATTATAAAAACAACAAAAAATTAGGGTGAATATTACATCAAACCTACGACAAATAATATTAAAATATAAAACTTAAGTCATAAATACAGTTATTTTATTATAAATATCTATATTCAATTATAAATTGAATTAATTTATATATCAAAAGATTAACATATAAAACAGCTAGGTATATAAATAATACAAATAATTATGTGTTAAAACATAAATAGCTAGGTAACAAGAAGTAATTATTAAGTAAAAAATGAGAATTTACTATTCATTCAAGTATGTATATTTTTTATACCATTGATATAAATATATTTTTTATAATTATTTAAATTTTCTAAAAATGTATAAATACATTATTTTGAATTAAATTTACTAAAAATGTAGAAATACATTATTTTTATTTTTATTCTTAATATTTTATTCTATTTTTCTCAGCTAACATAATATAAAAAAAAACAAATTATGATAATTGAAGGTTGAAAATTCATTAATAGATGCAAATTGGTGTGCTTTACCAATTTGTATCTATTAATGAATTTTTCATTAATTAAATTTAAGTATCTATATTTTTTTAACATGTTATAACTTATACAAAATATTCAAAACAATTTCATTTCAAAATATATTTAAAAATGATAGAAATTATTGTAAAAAATTACAATAATATAAAATGCTAAAGAAAACATTGCATTTTACATGTGAGTGTGCTAATCTTCTTGATGTATTCAAAAACATTAGTAACATTAAATTAATAATTGTATTAATTTATTACCACTTATACATTTATACTAATTTAGTGTCATAATTTTTTTTTTTTTTTTATGTTAAATAAAATGTCTTTAAAGTAAGTGATCAGCAGAAATCTGTCTTTAAGTATCATATTATAGAGATCTGGAGACTAAATTAATTGTTATTAATTTATAAAACAAATAGTCACATGCAAATGTAGTTTATTATTATTAATAGAACAAATTGTTAACCGAAACTATTGTTTAAATGACACAGATGCAGCATATTGTTGTATTTCAAAATAAGTTAAGAGGATGTCAGCGCACTACTTATTTTATCTCTCTAGACCCCTTAACATAGTATATTTGTGTTCAGCATAATCAATTTTGGAGAGATGAATTTTTCAATTTTCAAGTATAAAAGTTTAGAACATAATCCAATTATCTGTGATAGTATCATTGGGTGTTTTTATTCTTCTGTGATATATGAGCATTTTTAAATCATAACATTTTATTTATAACTTGCATAAAAATACTGTAAAAAAGCTAATGTACAAATACAAGTTTGACATTGATAATAACTAATAAGTATACACTAATATTAAATCTAACAATATAAAAATGGTTTTGTCATGTTGTGCATGGGTTGATTAGATAGAGAAAACCAACAGTGCGCCGACATCCTTTTAAGTAAACAGTAATACAAATCTATTTATCTAATCTATATGGTTACACATCTTCACATATCACATTTATACTATTACAATTATTTAACCTATACAGTGCATAGCCATTATAATTGTAAAATATGCTATACACAATAGTACACACCTAAGATACATTAAAAGTTTATAATAGAATAATGTTTATATTAATAATTTATAACATTAATCGAGTCAACATTTAAAATCCCATCGGGCAAATTAGACTCCACAAGCTATTGGCAGTATCAACTGGTTAAAGAGTTTTAATTACCCTTTACAGATCAAAAACAACATCAACAAAAACTTTCGAAGGTAACCCCACCTAATTTTTTTAAGTTTCAGAGTAAGATTATACTTACAAATTAATAACTGTATTAACAAACAAATTTTTAAGATTTAGTTCACAATACAACTGTACATGGTTATAATTGTATTGAAATATTGTTAAAACAAAACACCCAAATAATTTACATAATATGATAGTTATAAATGAATCAGATATGATGAATTATTGATAATTCATGTTTTTCATACTGAACATGGTCTACGGATTTATTTATATGTATACATATATAAATAACTAATAACAAAATACAATTAAAATCACAACAAGAGTTAACATAATACAATAAATGTGTTAAACAACTAAAAAATATAAATTGGGTAAGAAGAAGGATATTTTAAACTTTTATTAATCAATATTTTCATTGTTTTTAACAGTAATATACTTAAATTTGTATGAATATTTTTTTTTATATAATTTATAAATAATTCTATAAATGACGTATATATTATCCATATACCTTAAAATAAATATAATGTATTTATTAAAAATGTTTTATTCGTTAAGTATTTACTATTCAATAATTTAAAAATAGAAATTACTTTAATTATATTGTTATTTAAATAAATTACTTCTATATTCATATATTAACTAATAAATTGTTTTAGTATACTAAATTTAAAAATCACAGAACTTTTAACAAGAAAAATTTTGAAGAAAACTAAACAATTCATTCTGAATAAAGAAACACAGGATCCTTACGTTATCACAGTTGGAGAAGTACGTCCAGTAAATTGTACCAATTTAGAAATCTCCAAAGCTATCTGTAATTTAAATATATGTAAATAAATAATTAAATATTAAACATAATTAGTTTTCAATAAAAATAGTTATTGAGCAGTCATTTGAGTTTAAGATTTTACAATACTGAACATCAGATACTCAAGACAAAAAAAAACAATTCCCTATAATGCACAATTCAGTGAATCTAATCCAGTGTTTAACAAACTCTTTGACACTTTGGACAGTATTTTTTTTTTAGTGATGGCTAAAAAAATGTGTACCTAAATGTGTTCTTAATCGTTCTTCAATTTCCATATAAAACTAATGTTTTGTGCCTAACGTGCTAAGGCCATTACTTTTACAGATAATCAGTATAAAACAGTTGAAAAATTGTCATAGAGGTGTTCTTTTTAATTTGTTTGATATTGACAATATTAATGTTATAATTTTTGTCTTTATTATTTTTTTTTTTTATTGTATTTTTCAGATGATAAAAAGGTTGCTGGTTTTTTTTTTTTGCTTTGGAAACCTACATTTAAAATCCTGGCTATGCTACTATAAATTACTTTTTACAATATTATTTTTCAAGTGTACATAATTCGTATTTACTATTAATTAACTACCTAATGAATTGTTATTTCACATTGTCTTTATAAAATATTGATTGGTATCATAAATGTCTGCTTTCGTGAAATGCAACTTTACCTACTACCTAAATTGGTTTAGTGTTACATACTTGGACTAGAGGATTAAGGGCCACTTGAGCGTCTTCTAAAATATTCGATGTTGGTGGTTCATATGATTCAGCATATAAACGAATAGTAGCACCACTACTGCCAGTACCACTTAATCGAAACACAAATCTGGATCCATCTTCAAATAACACCCTTATACCCTGTTTATAAATTATATAAATTCACCAATAAATTACAATATTCTATTTTGATTTTTGTTATAAAGTTAAGTTATTAAGTTATTCTCCTAATCACCATTTTTTAGGCTCTACAGAAAATTGACCTACCTGTTTTTTAGTGACACTCTTATCAATTGGATCACAATATTCAAAATTATCAGCTTGTTTAAATATATAAACCTTTGAACCGTAAATAAATTTCTGGCCTTTAATTGCAGGATCAGTAACTTTTTTTTCCAAATCTGACATTAGTTGGTTAGAAGGTTCAGATTCACAATTTTCATAATCATATCTTGTAAAGTAATTACGTCCAAAAGTTTTCCAATGATTAGTAAGTATAGTCTCAACAGACTCTCCAGTATTGGCCAAAACTGACAACCATGCCAAAACAGCCCATATACCATCTTTTTCACGAATATGATCAGAACCAGTTCTAAAAGTAAAATTTAAAAAAACTATTGTGAATAAAACTGATAATATGTTTAGTTCTTTTCAATGTTACCCAAAGCTTTCTTCACCGCAGAGTGACAAACGACCTGCATCCATTAAATTTCCAAAAAATTTCCAACCTGTAGGCACTTCAAAAATTTCTTTTCCTAGCTTTGCTGCCACCCTACATTATTATTTTTAATTAAAATATATTTTTGTGAAGACAATAAAAAATATTTTACCTATCCACAGCTGCACCTGTTGGCATACTTCTGGCAAATCCTCTAATACCATTTACTTTAAAGTAAGGAATACATTCCAGATTATTAGCTAAAACAGCTAACGAATCACTTGGGTTGATGAAAAATGCCTTTTTGCCAAGAATCATATTACGATCCTAAAATAAAATTTGTAAATTTCAAATAGAGTAAAAAATATGTCAAGTTACAGGTAACAAATGAAGTTTTTTTTAACCTAAGTCCTAAGTATATCACTAAACATTTTTCTATAGAACCTCAAACAATATAGATTACAATTAAATAGTTCAACTTAAAAATATTCTAACTTTATTCTATTTAGTAGTTTCCAAAATATGTATTAAAGATCAATTATTTGATGGAGTTAAATACCCTCAAAAATTGCTAGCCCTAATAAAGTTTCGTATATCACAAACATTCAACACATAAGGGTTAATACAATGTTAACTACAGCCCTACAAGCAATTCATCATAACATTTTGATTTTTTTGACAAATGGATGTTGTCTGACTTTATCAGCACCAACTACATTTCTTAACTTGAACAGAGTATAGCATTGTAATTACTTTTAAACCTGAAAAATAACACCCTAAATTTGGTTCAGTGAATTTAACCTATTAGTTGAATTTAAATTAATTTTATACTTAAACACTTAGTTCTATTATTTTATAGCATTTCAAATCATCATATTATGTCCACAAAAACTTACACCATCTCCATCAAAAGCAGCGCCAAGATCATACTCCCCTTCTTGTAATGCTTTTACAAGGCCTGAAGCATAAGTGAGATTAGGGTCTGGATGAATTCCACCAAAGTCGGTTAAAGGTACCACATTGATAGCGTTATTTGATGGTGCACATAATTCTTCAATAAAAATCTTCTTTACATAAGGTCCAGTAACTAAAATATAAGTATTTTTAATTTTTTATAAAAATAAATTACAAATCTAAAATATAGATCAGATAAAATTTTGACTTTAAAACTATAATTTAAATTAAAGTAAAATATATCAAAACAATTAGATTGTGATCATGAAAATTAATATGTTTCATGTTTATTACCTCCATTCATTGAATCAATAAGAATATTAAAAGGAGATTTATTATTGGACCCTTGGATTAACTTGCGAATAACATCAAAATCAAAAATACTTTTCATCAACTGAAGGTAATCCACAACAGAGTCAATGACTTCTACTTCAAATTCTTTACCACTAACCTAAAAATAAAATAGATACATGTAACTTTCAAGTTTATGTATAAATGTTGTATAAAATCTATACTTTGAAATATTGTAAACCACAATAATCTATAGAGCATTTCAAATCTGGTACAATACTATAAGAAGAGATAGTTTTGGTTAACTCATAGATGGCATCTGTAACAGATTCTGGAGCAGGACCTTTAAAACAGAAAAAAAACAATTATAATATTAACATTGGTATTAGACAATATTATTATAGTATGGTTCTTATGATTTTTTCAATTTTAAAGTAGAACTCACCTCCATTGGCTGTGTTGTATTTAATACCAAAATCATTGTTAGGACCTCCTGGGTTATGACTAGCTGTAAGTACTATGCCACCGGTTGCTTTATATTTTCGAATGATGCAGGACACAGCTGGTGTTGATAGAATTCCTTTGTGTCCAACAATTAATTTCTTTACCTGAAGATTAAATTAAAAATAAATTTTTAAATTCATAATTCATATAACAAACAAACTTACACTAGATAACTAGGTACTACTCTTATAATTTCATATTTAAGAGCACTGTTCAATACTTTAGCTATACTATCATGGTACATTAGTATGATTTTAGTAAACTTCATATTTAATATTTAAAAATAAATATTTTGATTAGGATTTATTTATAGACTACCATTAAACTGGTCTCATTAATTCTTTTAAGAGAAAATGAAGAAGCCAAAATACATATTTGCTTCCTACTTATTTTATAATTATCTATGACTATTGAAAGTCAACTTCAGCCATTTATTTACATAATTAAAAATTTATCACTGAGTAAACATTTAGATTAAAATACAATATGTGCATAACAAATACATTAATTATTTAACCAAACTTATCGATGAACAAATTGAATAGCTATTTTTAATATGGTAGATTTACCATCAATAATAATTTATTACAAAATATGGTAGGCATTTTTTCGAAAATAATCAACACAAATGTAAAACTGTATAATCACGTTTCTTATTATTACCAACACGGTAACAATCCTTTTTTAAAAAAATATTGTCAACAATACAATAACAACCATAGGTACAGTAGGTATCGACTATCGTTGAGAGCAGACTTGAGCTTTTTATAATATATATGATATATATCTAACTAGGGAACTAAAAAATATCTCAAGAAAACTCGAATATGGTTTTATAAGAATCCATTCAAAATCATTTAAGTGTGGGGAGGGACCCAATATCAAATATGCACAATGTCAATACATGTAAATACCAATATTATAATACGCAAGTGCCTAGAATTGTTTCGTACACTATTATGTAGTATTTACGTATTGATCGTATTATGCACAATACAATATTATATCATTGATTAAATATTATAATTACATATAATAAAATCATCCGAAAATCATTTTTCGTCCAAGTACCTATACCAATAATATTAAATATGTTCAGCCGCCTATAGGTATTCTCATTGCCTGCAATTCACCGGCATCGATGGAGAAGGAGAAGGTTATATTAGAGGTTTATCTTTATTGTACTTAGATAATAAACTCATAATTTATTCATAGTGCCAGAGCCTTGCTGATAATGCGTGTATTACGCTATTGGCTTATCGTGAAATTTCACAATTCATAATTCAAAAAAAAAATAATATTGAATAACAGTAATTTCAACTCTGCTTGTATTCTGGGTTTGATATTGATAATAATATAATAATCGGAAACTCGGACGACTACGTCAAAAAATGAAAAAAAAGCTTTCTTACTAGGTACATGGGCAATTAATATTTACATTTATTTTTAAATGTACGTTTTCTAGTATCAAGCATAGCTCGGTAATATACTATCTAATAATACTTTTCGGTGCATTAATATTATAACGACGAAATTCGTGTCTCGCTGTTACAATATTATTAGGATTACGTACGTAAACGGCACGAACCTTTAAAAATAAAACCTAACATGTCGTGTCATACCGTGAAATAGGACGAACAAACCATAAAGAATATTATAACGTCTACAACTTACTAATTCTAAGACATAAATGTATGGTTCAAAAAATCCCCTCGGTGGGTGTCGTCTATGCCTGTTATGTAATAATTAATATTACGACCGACAAACAACCGCTGTGAGCAGCCTACAGTGTCATCAAAAAGCAACAGTGTGCAGTGTTGGTTTGGCGGGAGGGTAGTAAGAACTAAATTTAACTGTGGGTGGTGGGTTGGTGGGTGGGTACCTAACTAGCCGGCTGACTGCACCTAGGTGCTTCGGAAAAGGTTCAGAAATCTCGACGGTTCAACGGTGTAGGCAGGAATAATAATAATTTTTATAAACATTGGGCGGGGAAAAATTGTGTTGCCCGGCGCCTTTCCGTCCAGACGCCGCGTTAATCTATAGTACCTAATATATTATTATTCTACGGTCGCGTCACATACCCCGTTGGCAGCGGCGATTTTAATTATCACGTCCACGGCTTCGGTGCAGAAGAACCGGCCGTCGCCGCCGACCACCAAAGTGCTGCCGGCGGCCGACGGCTGGACGGCGCCGAGCACGGCCTGCACGAAGTTCTCCGTGTAGTTGGGCTGCTGGAATACTTTGACGGCCTTGCGCAGGCCGCTGGTTCCCGGCTTTTGGCCTTCGTACGGCGTGGTCTTCACTAGCACCGGTTCCATGGCGGGACACGAGCTGGGACTACTTTACAGAACACCGGTGCACTCGGATGCAGCGTGCGGACGGAGACGAAGCGATCGGCCGTCGTCCGTTACAGAGAAACAACGAGTGCGGAATGACAGCGGCGAACGTGAACCGTGAACAGCAAACGTCCCGTCGTCCTCCGGCGCGCTCGGCACGCGCACGCCGCCGTCCCGACAGCTGATCGACGCCGCTCACAGTGGAGGGGGCACATTCAAGGTTGGCGGTGACGTCTTTTTTTAACAACAATATCGCCCGCTGCCTTGTTGTTGTTGCTCGCTGTTGTCGTACAACACACTACACAGTTTCCCAATCGCTTGGAAGTTTTTTCCACTCATAAAACTTATTTTCACAAACCATATTTTTCAATCGTACATATTTTTCACAATAAGGTAATCAATGTAGTGAAAAGCAACGAATTTAGTACTTCCAATCGGCTAAGCATTTCCTCCTGAAATCCAAAAGGACTTGTGATGAGTGTAAAATTAAATTTGGTCCGGAATAAACAACGTTTAGATTAGATGACTAATGAGCGCACATTTAATTACAAAAACTTGAGATTTAAATAACACAACGTGTTCGACATTGTCGACTGCCGTCCCTTAGATATCGTTCAATATTGAATGCCCCATTCCCCAGGGAGTTCTGCGATAACATAGCTATGAAACAAAATCAGAAACGCAGGCACGCAGTCTGCTCATGCTGGGCAAAAGAAATGGGCTTGTCGTAAACTGCTCTTATCGTCTTGTAACAAGTTATGCAGCTTAATACTTTTTTAATGGCAATTCATTTTCTTTCGTATTAAATCTGTCAAGGGGGTCTATGTTTGCGCCTCACGAGACACGAGTCGCGACACTCGGATTATTGGAAAAGTGTAATAATTGAACTATGAAAATGAGATGATAATATACTACAAACAGCATGGCACGAAATCACGTGCACTGTGTTGAACAATAGCTTGATTGTACAAAATGTCTATCATACAATCTATAATCGATGTTAATGTAGGTAGTAGGTACACAATGTATACTTAATATTAAGACTCTTTATAGGTACACCGTAGTACCGTACACTAATACATACAAAGTTATAATGATAATATAACAATAAGTACAACATTAATACATTAAAATATACATTATTTGTATAAATAATCAATGCTACAATGGTGAAATACAATGGTATACTTATTATACTATTATAGTAAATACCAGTACACATATAAGCTAATATAAAGTCGACGAGATTCATCTACACGCTCGTGCTCCATGTCTAGGTATTGTTAAATTGTTTCAATGTCATTTATCCTATACATATATGTACCTATATAAATCTATAAACTAAATAATTATATCACGTACGTATTGCAGTCTTATTATTAATGCGTTTCCCTAGATTTTAAATTTATTCCCATGAAATTTGTGATGATAATACTACCATAGGTACTGTCCATACCTCACACAACATTATTTCATTAAACAATTAATAAATTAACATAATTAGGTTAAATCTCAACATTTCCTAATTATTGGACAGTGAACACTAATGATATCTTCGAGGTCAAATTGACATTAAAACAAAGTTTGACGTTTCCACCTTCCATCAGAAATAATGTTAAAATGTAATTCATAGTTTTATTGAATATTGATGAATGTTGTATTATTATATTCCAGATAAGAGTAACGCACATTTTGATATGAGGATGACGTAAGGTATTATATTATTCTAACAAACAATGACTTAGTATTTACTAATAAAAATACATTTTTAATACATTTTACACTAGATGTATAACTATTCCCTTTACTTAGTAATAAGTAATACCTACACTAATTTAAATAATAAATCATAATATGACATACGTACGAATAAATAAATAATATAAATTGCTAAAATTAAATTATTCTAAAATATAGAAATGATCAAAAGTACAACTGTTCAGTTGTATAAAATACTTTGCATTTTTTGTAATTAGGTATCTGATAACATTCTTTACAATTAAAAATTCATAATAAATTAAGTCTTAGCGATTTATTGTAGTCCCACAGTTATTAATTACTGAATTCCTATCTATCTAGTATCAGTAGTTAGTAGCCAGTATTAGGTACTATATCTTCCCACAACAACAGTCAACAGACAACAATACAACAATGGTACATACAACACAGCCATTTCTAAACCACAGAGTAGGTAATAACTAGTAACTAATACAAATATACGTTCTACTAATATTAATCATAATATATTATACAATATTTTCATAAGTCTGTCGTCTGTGGTCTAAGAATGTCAAGATATCGAACCAAATTATTAGCACATACGAATAACATAAATATTTTTTCTTCAAACAATTTTCTCGAATACTATTACTCAATATCCACGTTATCAGGTACCTAAATTAACCATAGCAAGTTTTGACGCATTTTACTGTACAATGATTATTGAACTGATTAGAAAGTTTGGTGTTTCGCTGAATCAGTAAAATATGTATGACTTCTTCCAATTAAAGTGTATATTTTGATATATCGCAATACTCGCAATTATAATGAATTTCAACATTTTTCTTTTCTTTTCATTTCATACCATATTTGATACAAAAAATATTAACAATGTATCCGAAAGCATTCAGAAACTAGTAACTACCTAGTAGGTCCCTACCATTGGTTTTACTCAAGCCATAAAAGTAATACCTATTAAAATAAAATGCATATTTTTTTTTAAGTCAACGACTGCTCATATAACTTATAAGGAAAAAATAATTAATGTACCTATAGAGAGTATAAACTATATAGTATATAAAGTAATAGGTCTTCGTTATTTCATTACATTCAATAAATCAGAATAATATTTTTACAATCTCGAGGAGAAAATTAAAAATTATCAATTATATTTCAACTGAAGGCTAAAACCACAAAAAGTAACAACTAAAACTAGAGCACTTTAAAAAAGACACAAAGTATAAAAAAAAAAGTAGCAAAATTTAAGATTCCTATATTATTAATATAATATTTATTTGTTTATGGTTCTCTCTGGACAGCAACTCGCCAATATCTAACTGAAATAAATATCTTCACTAATAAAAAACCATGCAGATGAAATTTGGTTTAAAACTGACAAAAAAAAATCAGAACTTTTTCACTCCCATCCCTCCAACATTATCCAACTTCATAATGACAATATATTCTCAGAATGTGTAAAAAACTATCTACTTGTCCCCCTGCCGCTTTTTGAACCCCCTAAGCAGTTCTCACCATGTGAAGTCCAGCACTACTTAGTACTTATAAATGTCCCTCCTTTCATACACCCCACTCCCATCATGCCGTCATCATACATTCATATTGTCCGATAAATTTCCTTGTGTGAAAAACTAGTTATAAAGAGTATTTCATTGTTAATATTATAGGGAATAGCTAAACAAGCAAATCTTTTTTTTTAAAAAAACCATATAATAGTAAGTAAGTTTCTTTTAATATAAATAAATAGGCCTAAACTTCTGACGAGAATCAACTGCAATTTGTTTGCATAGAACGATTTAGTTTTTCTTTTAAATGTCACCGCGTTATTTTTATACTTTTATACTAAATTTAACTTATCTCCCTATAAGTATTATAAAATATTTTTAAATAAAATATAAAATATACATACTATTATATTAATATATTATGCATTATGCATTAATATTTGATTAACTACATAATATATTCCTATTATAGTATAATAATATAAGTAGGTTATAAAACACAGCTAGTACACCTGCTGCAATATTAATAGTTACAATAATTACATTATAGATAAGTTTATGAAAGTGGTGAACATAATATATTTTATTAATAGACTAAAGTAGTATAGTATTAGATACATCCATCTTGTGTTAGACATTTATTTAAATATGAACGAATGCGTTAATCCAAAACACACAGATTATATAGAAAACCACTTTGATAGTTTGATAACACTCAAGAACTTCATAAAATATAGCTAAAATATAGAATTATTTTTAAAAAAATTAGAAGAAATATGACATAGCTAGATATTACTGTACCACATAATATTATACTTGTATAATAGGTCATTATTGTGTAGGTTGGTAAACTGCCAGGTAGGTAAGTTAAAACCACACAATTATATAATATATGGTAATAAATTATAATACAATAATATAGTATGGAAGTGAACATTTTTAAATTCATAACCTTTCAACTTGTAACGAAAGCAAATCTTTTTTTTGTTTTGACTTATTATGTTATACAATGATTAATTATTATTATGTACATGGTTGACGGATGCTGATCGATGGAATTTGGAATCAGATTTAGAGGCGTTATCTGCATAATAGCTAATAATTAATATATGTACGATGGTTTAAACACGATTATACTTATGTCTTTATATAACGAATATATATATATAACAAGTAAGTATATTGGTATAAATAATATAGGATCAAAAAGTCACGTCGACACAGAAAATTATATTCCAATGAGGATTTGTTGCAATGATCACGAATGTACAGGAAAAAAATTATTTTTCATGGTATATTAGTAGATACAAAAGCAAAAAAATAACATAATAGCTACTTTAATTAATATTGATAACACAAAATTTAAACGCATTTATACTATGCTGATTGCTGACCAAGCATACTACTGATCTATTATTGAAGACTGAAATATATAATATAAGGAATTGGTAATTGGTATATTCTAAATGAAATAATGCATAAGGCAGCCGGTGTTGATATAAAAATAAAATACACTTCAGAAATAATGATCTTGTTCTATAGAAGCAACCAAATTTAATTTTGATTTTTTTTAATTAATAAAGGGAAATTTTATACATCCCGCATTGAAATCCATTTTTCAATATTTTAATCTCAAACTTAATAAAGTATTAAAAAAAAAAAAGTTTTAAGCTTTTTTTACAAACTATTTTAACAATTATTTGAAATTAAGTAAAAAAACCAATATACAATGCAGGGTTTAGAGTGCTCTATGTTATCAATTAAAAAATAATTTATCTGAAAATATTCAGTTGACAATGACCATCCTCATTACTGTGAAGTGATTTTTGGTGTCGATACGGTCAACTAAATATTTTGTTATTAATTGTTCCTTAATACTTTATTAGTATACGTAAGTATTGGGTCTGATGTCATATTTTACTTGCAGCCTTCATAGATCTGTTATGGTGGTTGGCGACATCACAAGGGATACGTTAAAAACAAAAGCCAAAGATATTGGGTCAAAGGATGCAATATGTATTATGGTATTATGAATAATTCATAATATCTATGTCTTATATACATCATTAGGTAGGTATCCGTAGCCAGATTTAGTTGTTGGTTTTTTTTTTTTTTTGGGGGGGGGGTACAATATTTTATTGCTGGAGCTAGGGTACTACCGAGAATAATAAGTTTGATATTTTAGAGGGGGGCCTAAGTCCTAAAGCCCC